CCATTCATAATGTGCGTCTGCTTTTGTCATTTCTTAGTTTCTGATTTCATAGATGGAGATCCATCATCTAATGGATTCCATTTTTTCTTCTCCACATAGCTTTACATCTAAGCTGCAAAAAAGGTCAGCATGCTTGCAAAGCTTCTCTCTTCTCCTGCTCCAAGACAACTGAATCAAATCCGTGCAATCGTCATAAAAAACCCTAAGCCCCATAAACTAAATCCCCTACTAAGATCATTGGTTGTGTCCAATACCCCAGAGATTGCCCTTCTCCTCTACAACCAAATGCTCTATGATTCAACCTCACACGACCATTTCACATACACCTWCGCCATTAAAGCCTGCTCTCAATTGTATTCTATTCAAAAGGGTCACGAAATCCATGCGTGTGTTATTACATCCGGCCACCACTCCGACGTTTTCATTCAAAACTCTTTGATTAGCTTCTATGCAGATTGCGGTGACATTGCCAGCGCTCGCCGGATATTCAACTCCATCGTTAACCCGGAGGTTGTGTCCTGGACTTCAATCATATCAGGGCTTTCCAAGAATGGGTGTGAAGTGGAAGCTCTTAAAGTCTTTGTGTCCATGGATGTTAGACCTAATTCAATGACACTTGTTAGTCTTCTATCAGCTTGTTCTCAATTGAGAGCTCTTCACTTGGGAAAGGCTGTTCATGGGTTAAGTTTGAGGAATTTGACTGATTGCAACGTCTTTGTTGACAATGCTTTRTTGGACATGTATGTGAAATGTGGGTCTTTGGACAGAGCACGCAACCTGTTTGGAAGAATGAGTAAGAGAGATGTGGTCTCTTGGACTACTGTTATAGGTGGTTATGCACAAAGAGGCCGTTGTSAGGAGGCAATTAAAGCTTTTCAGGCCATGATACAAGGAGGTGAAGCTCAACCCAATGAAGCTACTATAGTGAATGTATTGTCTGCATGTTCTTCACTTGGGGCCTTGAGTTCAGGCCAATGGGTGCTTTCTTACATTAATGGAAGACACGGCCTTMCAGTTGATGGTCATGTGGGGAATGCTCTGGTTAACATGTATGCAAAATGTGGAGACATGGGCATGGCCCTTCAGGTGTTCAATGGTCTATCATGCAAGGATTTGGTGTCTTGGAGCACTATGATAGCGGGCATGGCCATGAATGGGTCTGCCAAGCAAGCTCTGCAGTTGTTCTCCCTCATGCTATGTCATGGTATTGTTCCTGATGGTGTAACCTTCATCGGTTTGCTTTCTGCTTGTAGCCACTCCGGCCTGGTTGATCAAGGATTGGCCTTCTTTAAGGCCATGAATGATGTCTATGGGATCACCCCTGAGATTGAGCACTATGCTTGCATGGTTGATATGTATGGACGTGCTGGACTGTTGGATGAAGCAGAAGCTTTGATTAGAGGCATGCCCGTGGAGCCTGATGGCCCAATATGGGGRGCATTGCTCAATGCCTGCAAGATTCATGGAGATGACAAGAGACATGAGCGTCTATGGCAGTGTCTTCTTAATACCAGGGGTGTAAGTGGAGGTACTTATGCACTCCTATCAAATGCATATGCTACTTCAAACAGATGGACTGATGGCCACAATGTGCGAAGTATTATGAGATTCATGGGGTTAAGAAAGACACCTGCATATAGTCGAATAGAAGTCGATTCACTCATTCATAGATGACCATATACCTGAAAATTAGTTAATTGGACACCATTCATCTTAATTTTCTTCTTGGTATTATAACATGATCAAATTTCAAATACAATGAAAGGGCAAGGGTCCAATGGTTTTTTTTTTTTTTTTTTATATACTCATTCATAGATGACCATATACCCGTAAAGTAGTTAATTGGACACCATTCATCTTAATTTTCTTCTTGGTATCGTAACATGATCCGTT